CTCCAGGGACTGGCGCTTCCTGATAACATGTCCGAACAATGTGAAATGAAGTCTCACCATCCTCATTTCTAAAGAGCACCCTGGCGGTATTTCTTCCAAAACAGATATATTCATGATACTGGTAGTCCATGGTACTTTCAACATTCTTTGCCAACACAATAATCCAAAGGCATCAATTCTTCTTAAGTCTTTTTTATTTCATAGTCTAGCTTTCACATGCATATGAGCCAATTATAAGTACCACAGCATGGGCCAGGCACACCTTAATCCTCAAAGTGACAAATTTGCATACTTTAAAGAGGTCTTGTGCAGCGGATTTGCCTAATGCAATGCATCATTTGATTTCTTGACTGCTGCTTCTATGGGTCCAAATGTTAACTGAGGTTCCAAGTCAAATGAAGTTCTTGACAACTTCAATCTTTTCTCTAGTTATTGTGAGGTTGTTTATTGGTCCAGTCTTGAGAGTTTCTGTTTTATGTTGTGGCTGTAGTTTATTTTATTTTACTGGGGGCTGTTACTGCTCCTATCACAATCCACACATATATCCATTGTGCCCAACACATCTGTACGTATGTTCTTTTTCAAAACATTTTCTTTCTACTTGAGTCCTTGGTGTCAGCTCCTCATTTTTACCCTCCCTCCCCCATGAACCCTTGATAATTTATAAATTATTCTTTTTATTCATGTATTACACTGACCCCTGTCTTCCTTCACCCACTTTACTGTTGTCTGTACCCCTGGGAGGAGGAGGCATATGTCAGTTATTGTGATCGGTTCCCCCTTACTCCTCCACCCCACCTTCCCTTACCCTCCTAGTATCGCTACTCCCCTTATTAGTCCTGAGGGGTTCATCTGTCCTGGATTCCCTGTGTTGCGACTTCTTTTCTTTGTAAGATAGAATTGGGGTCATGAGAATGGTGGGGTGGGGGAGGAAGCCTTAAAGAACTAGTGGAAGGTTGTGTGTTTCATCGGTGCTATACTGTACCCTGACTAGCTAGTCTCTTCCTTGTGGCCCTTCTGACAGGGGGTGTCTCATTGACTACTGTTGGGCTTTGGTCTCCACTCTACGCCCTCCCTCATTTACATCGATATGATTTTGTTTTGGGTCTTTGATGCCTGATATTTGATCCCATCGACACCTCATGATCACATAGGCTGGTGTGCTTTTTCCATGTGGGCTTTATTGCTTCTCATCTAGAGGATTGCTTGTTTATCTTCAAGCCTTTAAGACTCCAGGCGCTATATCTTTTGATAGACATGCACCATCAGCTTTCTTCACTACTTTTGCTTATGCACTCATTTTGTCTTCAGTGATCGTGTCGGGGAAGGTGAGCAGCAGAGTGCCATGTTAGTAGAACAAAGTGTTCTTGTGTCGAGTTGAGGGAGTGCTTGACTGGAGACCCAATGTCCATCTGCTGTTGTAATACTTTATAAATAAATATATGTACATAGATCTATTCCTCTACCATTATATATCAATGTATTTACATATATACATGCCTGTATTTAGACCTCTATAAATGTCCTTTGAGGCTATAGTTTTTGAAATCTTTGTCAGTAAGTGCTTCAAATTCTCCTCACTTTCAGCAAGCAAAGGTTATGAGTCTTCCTCCAATCTTGATTCCATGTAACCCATCTTCTGAATTATTTTCAGAATACAGATTGAATAAGTGTGGTGGAAAGATACAAGATTGATACACACACCTTTCCTGAATTCAAACCGTGCAATATTTTCTTGTTCTATTTGAATGACTGCCTTTTGGTCTATGTACAGGTTCTGTATAAACACAATTAAATTTTCCCATTCTTCCCAATGCTTCCCATGATTTGTAATGATCTGCACAGTCAAATGACTTTGCATAGACAATAAGATTTGGGAAACATCTTTCTGATGAGCTCTGCTTTCAGCTAAGTTCTGTCTGACATCAGTAATGGTATCCCTCGTTTCACATTCTTTTCTGAAGCCAGCTTAAATTTCTGGCAATTCCATGTCGATGTACTGCTACGTTTATTTTTGAATTATCTTCAGTAAAACTAGACTGGACTTAGGCTTTGGACTGAGGAAAATTCTTTAACTTTCCCTCACCTCTAGATACATCCATAACAAATTTTTGGTGGGAAATATCCTAGGAGCAAGTCCAATGCAATCTGCCAAGTACATCTAATGTCATCTTAGATGTACTTAGATGTCTTGATCGAGGTAGATATTGTGGTTTAGGGAAAAGATTGCTAGGGTCTGAAAACTGCAGTTAAGTCCTGGTTCATGCTGCTAAAAACTGAGGTAGAAAGAGAATAAGGAGCAGCTACTCAGGAAGAGCAGAGAACTTCCAATTCTTGTTCATCCATTCATGAGTTTTCAACAACCATATTACACCTTCCACTACTTGTCAATTTGTTGTACTGTAGTGTCTTGTATGCTGCTATGATGCCAAAAGCTATGTCATTGGTATTTCAAGTGCCATCAGGGCCCCATAAACTAAACAGGCTTCAGCAAAGCTTCCAGACTAAGAACGGACTGCGAAGAAGGAATACACTGTCCACTTCAGGGAAATCTGCCACTGAAAACCTTGTGGATAGCCTGTGGGACATTGTCAGATACTCTAAACCTCATGAAAATCAGCCAAACATTTTAGCAGCCATGGAAAAACTGATAAGTCTTGGAAGAAGTAAGGTTGGCGTGCTCCTTAGAGGCAAGGATGGTGACAGTTCCTCTTACGTACTTTGGACATGTTGTCAGGAGAGACCAGTCCCTGCAGAAGGACATCATACTCGGTAACATGGAGGGGCAGAGAGAAAGCGGAAGGCCCTCAAGGACCCAGTGGCTGCAACAATGGGCTCAGACGTAGGAACAATCATGAGATGGCTCAGGAATGGGCAGTATTTTGTTTTGTTTTGCAGCCAACTCGATGGCACCTAACAGCAACATAAGATTCAAATTTATATGCCAACCTCTAAAGCCAGTGACATAGAAAACGAAGAATTTTATCACTGTCTTCAGTCTGAAATCGACCAAGCATGCAGTCGTGATACATCGATAATTATTGGCAATTGGAAAGCCAAAGATGAAAGCAAAGGGGAACAGGTAGTAGTTGGAAAATATGACTTTGGTGATAGAAACATGATAGAATTTTGCCAGCCCAATGATTTATTCATAGCAAATATGGACTTCTCCAGATGAAATACACAGAAATCAAATCGATTACATCTGTAGGAAGACATGTTGGAGAAGCTCAATATCAGCAGCTAAAATGAAGCCCAGGATTGAGTGTGGAACAGACCATCAATTGCTTGTATATAAGCTAAAATTGAAGCGGAAGAAAATTAAAACCAGTCCATGAGAGTCAAAATACGATCTTGAGTCTATTTTACCTGAATTTTGAGAATGTCTCAAGAACAGATTTGCTGCATTGAACACTAAATATGGAAGACCTGTTGAGCTGTGGGATGACATCAAGCGCATTATACATGAGAAAGAAAATAGACATTAAAAAGACAGGAAAGAAAGAAAAGATCAAAGTGGATGGCAGAAGAGAGTCTTGCTCATGATCATAGCCTAACTAAAGTAAATGGAAAAATTATGAAGGAAAAGAGCAGAACAGAAAATTGCAAACAGCAGGTCAAGAAGACAAAGGGAAGCATTATAATGAGATATACAAAGACCTAGAATTATAAAGCAACAAAAGGAAGAGCATGCTCAGCATATCTCAAGCTGAAAGAACTGAAGAAATAGTTTAAGCCTTGAGTTGCACTATTGGACGATTCTATGGGCAAAATATCGAACGATGCGAGAAGCATCCAAAGAAGATGGAAAGAATACACCAGAGTGACTGTACCAAAAAGAACCAGCTGATACTGAGCCATTTCAAGAGGTAGCATGTGATCAAAAGCCAATGGTATTGAAGAAAGAAGTCCAAGATGCACTCAAGGCATTAGTCAAAACCACGGTTCTGGTAATTTATGGAATACCAATAGAAATATTTCAACAACTTAATGAATCACTGGAAGTCAAGAAATTTGGATGACAGCAACTTGGACAACTGCCTGGAAGAGCTCTGTATTTGTACCCATTCCAAAGAAAGGTGACTCAACAGAACGCTCACATTGTAGAACAATATCGTTAATATCCAGGCAAGTACAATTTTGCTGAATTCCATCCAAGATCAGATGGCACCTCACAACAACAACAGCATGAATTGTAATCGGTTTGATGGCAGCGGGTTTGATTTGGTGTTATATCGGGATACAGAATTGAATAAGATACCAGCACAGAAACACTGATCTTTACCAAGCAATGTAGGTGATGTTATGATACTTTGCCGAGAGATACAAGGCAACATATTGACACAGGCCCTTTACTTGCCCACCTGTTGATCTCGCATTTAAACCAAATACCTTGAGATTCTTCCTTCAAGAATGGGGAGGGGAAGAACTTCTAGATTATCTCAGTAACCCTGCTAATTCTGACATTCATTAACTTGACATGACTGCGCTTTTATTTTGCAAATGTTTACTGAATTCCCACTATCCCCAGGCATGGTGCTAGTATTTTGATTTTCTTGTTTATCAAATAGAAAATAGTACCTGCGCTTTAGGTACTTCTATCCTAATGAGCAGTGTAATGCTTTGGAAAAAGTCCATTGCTATGGAAATGTGTTCTATGGAAATGCATGATTGGGCCCCTTTCTTCTTTAATGTGTAGTGCTAAAATTAAGTACTCTGTCAATCTTGGTATCTTTCGTTACACGCCGCCGCTAAACAAGTTTTCTTCTTTCTGCCAAACGAGCATCCTTAGAAGATACAGAACGATAGTTATTCCTTAGAAGATACCACCAGAATGACAGTTCTTTGTCCTGTACTTTAGCTTTCTTTTAATTCATGTTTTCATCCTTACCAGATATTTCCCCCTTCCTTATGAAAAAGAAAATATCAGCAGCCATTTTATAAATCTTGCGCAAATTCCATTTGGCCACCATGCACCACCCCTTGGCCTGCACACTCACCTGCACCAGGTCTGGTGTGAGGCGCTTGGCCTGCAGCCATTTCTGGAACCTCCCGGTTTTCCGCAGGACACGCTCGATGCTGCAGGTCTCTGGGGCGGCTGCCGAGGCACAGATTCTCCTGTCAGAGAGCTCATTCTGCGCTTTGCTGACCAACCTAGACATCTCCACGGGGCGCCAGGTCTTGGAATCATCGGAGTAATTGGCAGGATAAGAAGGCAAGTATTCAGGAGGAAGTCTGAGTGGAGAAGCCAGCCAGTTGCCAAACCTGTAGGAAAAGAACCTTTTTAAGATCGGCCTGTGAGCAAGAGAGATGAAGCAGGAACTAGAAGGGCTGAGCACGCTGCCAAGGCTGGAAACCGGCAAAGCCTGATTTCAGCTACTTCTCTGGAGTCTGGGGAGCTCCAAATAAATTCTGGTGAGAAGACCATTTTTGTTTGCTCAAAATGAAAAACAAAAGGAAACTCCTAGTGACCCAAGACATGTCATAATAGAACCCTGCTCTCTAGTTTTCAGTAGCTAGTTTTTGGAAAGAGGCCGCCAGTCCTTTCTTCCGAGGCCCGTCTACCTGTGGGTAGACTCAAACTAGCAACTTCTTGGTTGGCATCCAAGTGCAATAAGTGTTCACATTATCCAAGGACTCTGCCTCCGGCTTACGGAGGCATATAGGTGATTTCAGAAAAGGCAAGGGAGGTGTATGGCAGACATAAACGGCATTTTCTTTATTCAACTGGTGCAGAAGGAATTAAAACCAACATCAGTTGTTATCAATTCAATTCTAACGCATGGGGACCCCAGGGACTTCAGAGTAGAACGGTACTACATGGAATTTTCTTTTTAAAACATTTTATTAGGGGCTCATACAACTGTTATCGCAATCCATACACACATCAATTGTGTAAAGCGCATTTGTACATCATTCTCAAAACATTTTCTCTCCACTTAAACCCCCGACATTAGGTCCTCATTTTTCCCCTCCCTCCCCGCTCCCCCCTCCCTCATGAGCCCTTGATAGTTTATAAATTGGTATTTTGTCATATCTTGCCCTGTCTGACGTCTCCCTTCACCCACTTTTCGGTTGTCTGTCCCCCAGGGAGGAGGTCACACACAGTTCCATGTAATCGGTTCCCTCTTTCCTACCCATTCTCCCTGTTTTGCCACTCACACCACTGGTCCTGTAGGGCTCATCTACCCTGGATTCCCTGGATTTTCAGTTCCTATCTGTACCAGTGTACATCCTCTGGTCTAACCAGACCTGCAAGGTCGAATTCGAGTCATGGTAGTGGGAGCGGGGAGGAAACATTTAGGAACTAGAGGAAAGTTGTATTTCTCATCGTTGTTACATAGTACCCTGACAGGCTCGTCTCCTCCCCAAGACCTACATGGAATTTTCAATGGCTATTTTTTTCTCCTTATGTGGAAATAATCTGAAACATTTATTTTAGACATTGGACAAGAAGAAAGTAAGCTAGCCAAGTTCATGGCAGCATTACAGAAACCATCCCTTCACCAGTGTCAGATGTACATATCGCCTGCAAAAGGGCTCATCTTACTTAAAATGTAGAAAGACCATTGCCATCCTGCCAACCAACCCCAGTCCCTACAGCAGTTCTTCCACAATACTGGTGAGGTCCCAAGCTTTATCATCGAAATTAATCTATTTTGGAAGAGATAAAGCACTTAAAAGGACAAATCAGTATGCCTCAAGTTGCTATCCATGTAACTCAATTGCATCAATTTAAATGAGTTGTATTTTTCTCTGCTTGATAAGCCTTAATTTTGCCCAAGCTAGAGTGATACATCTTCCATCTTTTATCTTTTCAAAGAAACAAAACCAATTCAAAGAAACAAAACCAAAATGACTAGAAATGAAAAATGTAGGCATTAACACACCCTTGTGCTTTAGGTATTATTAAGATTTACAAAGTATTGGAAGTTTCTACTTCCTAAAAGGAACACGTGATCTGAATGAATACCCTAATGAAAAACAACTGTAAAATGTCCAGCGGCACTGGGGTCGCAGGGTAAGGGTGGTCTTCGCAGCACCCCAGCTTTCTTGATGAGAAGGTCAGAGGTACACTGGTTTGTATTATTGCGACATCCATTAAATGCTCTAGCTTGCTTTTCAGTAAGGGCTTTATTTGTCAAACAGCATTATGCTTGACCTCCAAATTTGGCTGACAATTTACTGATGATATTCATCATCTTAGGGTTGCTCTGGTACTTTGACGTATTTGCTGGGTTCTTGGCCACATCTTGGAATGCCACCAGAACCTCTGGATCCTGCATGGCAGCCAGAACCTCTGGATCCCTAAGAATCTCGTTGCACGCAGGCATTCCTGCCATCCCAGCCATACCCGCTCCCATTCCAGGCATTCCTGCAGGAAAGTTACCAGGCATCCCCCAGGAAAGCCACCTGGAAAGGAGCCATGCTGATCTCCTGATTGTCCTCTAGCTTCCTCCTCCCTCTAGACGCCTTCATGTTCTTCCTGGGCTTTCTTCTCGTTCTATTCTTTCTTTGATCTCTCGCTCTTCACATTTTCGCTCAGACTTTCTCCGATGTTCTGCGATTTTCTGGGCCCTCGGCTGAACTTCTTTCAGTATTCCACTAGCATCTTCATCATAGTCCAGTTTACAAGCAAGGGCACGGTCATGTACAGCCTCTTCCCCATGGCCCCAAAGTCTGTGTGCTTTCCCTCTCCGCTTGTAAGGCTGAGCTGAATCGGGATTCATTTCAATGTCTCTGTCACAGTCTCGGATGCAGCATTTGGCTTCTGGAATTGGATGTAGACACTGGCTCTGTTGGCATAAAGAATGGCCAGGCGAGGATTCAGTTTGATGGCATCAGTGAATACATCAACAGCTTTCTGTCGTTCCGGGCACCAATGGCAGTCACTTTCTTGTCATTTGCCTGATCCATCATCTCTTCAGGTATCTCCAGTTTCATCTCCCATTTCTTGAGAGGCATCCGTATCTGGTCCAATCACATCTTCATTGTCAATTTCTAGGTCACTTTCCTCACTTAATGGTTATCTGTCTTCTTTTCTTCCTTGGTATTTTCTTCTGATTTGACTTCATGAGTAGCAGGTGGTATTTTACCACACACGCTCTCCAACTACTCCGTCAGGGAGCGCATTTCCTCGGCGTGCAGAACGCTCGGGTCCTGCTTACACTTTTCCATGAAGGCCCGCAGCTCCCTCACTTTGCGGGGCTCCGTGGTCCGCAGGCGGAGGGAAGCGGAGGGCTCGGCTCAGGAGGCTGTGGCCTGATTCCAGGTCCGGGAGCTGGTTCCGTGTGACTGCGCAGAAGGGACCCAATGGCTAATTTTTCAGGAAGTAGATGGCCAGGCCTTTCTTCCATGGTGCCTTGGTGAGCCCCCCTGACACCCTTTCAGTTAGCTGCTGAGCATGTTAATTGTCGGCTTCACCCGAGGAGCTGCCGGAAGGAACAACAGTAAAATCAAAAACCAAATCCAGTTGCCATTGAGTAGATTCTTATGGCACGTAACCCCAGGACAGGGTAGAACTGCCTTACACTCCCAGGGGTTCCAAGGCCGCACACTTTTACTGAAGCTAACTGCCACTTATTAAGCTCCTACTCCTTGTAAAGGGAGTACTTTGACATATGCGGTCATTTTAAATTTTCCTAATGCTCCATCTTCATATTGCGAGTGTGGAAATGGAAGCTTATAGAGCTTAGTTATCATGCCCAAGGTGAGACAATATGTTGCCAAGGAGGAGCACAAACTCAGGGCAGTCTGTCAGCAAAACCCATGTCCTTTGCTACACTGGTTCATGCACTGTGGCTTGGAAATGCTCTCTTAGGCTCCTGGGTCTGTAATGGGGAGACTATTACCCCTTCATATCCAACCCCAAGGAACCCCATTGATTTTTCTTTCAGTCCAAAGATTTAAATCATTAGTATCAACCACATCTCAGAACAGAGTGGCTGTTAAATGGTCACCAAATGCAAAGCTATCTGGGGACTCAAAATCAACCAACCAATCAACCAACTAACCAACGAAACAAACTCATTGCCATCAAGTCAACTCAGACTCGTGGTGACCTAATAGGAAAGAGTGGAGCTGCCCCTGTGGGTTTCGGAGACTGTAACTACTTAAGGGAGTAGAAAGCCTCATCTTTCTCCTGAGAAGTGACTAATGGTTTCAAACTACTGACCTTGGGGTTAGCAGCACAACATGTATCTAGGGAATCAGGAGATGTCAAAGTTCACACAATGGCCTTACCAGAGTTCAGTCATTCCCCAAAGATAAATTGGAGTGTAATAATCTGCTGATTTCCTCTATCCAGAATGATTTCTCCATACTAATTTCTCCAGCTTTATGCCCACATTTCTATTAGGGAAGCAAGTTAAATCTTTTGTTTTGTGTACAAAAAATTGCTAAAAGAACATTTACCCCCATTATTCTTAATAATTTGAGGGTCTTGATTCAAATGGAATTTGGGCTTTATAAGATATACATTGAATTTAAATAGGATTCTTATCGAACAACTCAATGGTAAGGATTTTTGGAATAATTTGTAGCTCGATTGTTTTGTTTTCTAATTTATATGACGTAGCTTTAACCAAAGCTTAGATTGTTTTGTTTTCTAATTTATATGACGTAGCTTTAACCAAAGCGATCACAAACTTACAAGAGCAAAGAGGTCAACTTACCTGGGGAGCTCAAGAGCCTCAAATGAAAGCCCAGGCCTCTGCATCTTTGAAGAATGCACTTCCGCTCTGGGCAATCTAGCATTTCGGAAGGCGGCTATTATGGATTGAATGGTGTCTCCTTCTAAATACATATATGTTAAACCCCTAACCCTTGTACATAGGTGACCCTGCTTTTCTTTTGTTGGGATAATGAGATCATACTGGAGTGAAACCACTGCCATCAGGTTGATTCTGACTTATAGAGACCCTTCTATGGAAGCAAATTTTACAGGAGTAGACAGCCTCATCATTCTCCCTTGGAGTGGCTGGTGGGTTTGAACTGCAAACCTTACAGTTAGCAAGCTAAAGCTTACCTAGCACCATCACCTAGGCTCCTGATGCTGGAGTAAAACTCACTGCCATGTAGTCAATTCTGACTCGTAGCATTCCTATAGGACAGGGCAGACCTGCAGCTGTGTAATTCTCTCTCTTCTCCCTTCCCTCAAAACCATTTTATTAAGAGTTAATCCAGACATCATATCATTCCATAGTTCAATCACATCAAGCAGTATTACAAAATTGCTTCCACAGTTTCAAAATATTTTTCTTCCT